GAAGAGAAGAGAAGAGAAGAGAAGAGAAGAGAAGAGAAGAGAAGAGAAGAGAAGAGAAGAGAAGAGAAGAGAAGAGAAGAGAAGGTTCTGTAGCTATTTCAGTTACACCAGAGCCAAATAAAACAGCTTAACTCTCCAGCACTTTTGATATAACAACACAGAGGTCCAGTGTTGCTTTCAAACTGGTGTAGAATCTTCAGGCAAAAGTCCCCATATGCAGAAGATGTTGCAGAATAGATATGTAAAGTACATATTACACAAGCTTCTTAGGATACAAAAGGATTCTGGAAATGTGGTTGCATGTAAATATCATGTTAGAAATCATTGAATGATTACAAGAGATGGGACAGGATATAAAGGAAAATGTAGCATTATTGTTATGTTGTAAAAGTATCCTCTGATTGAAGGGTTCTGCAGCCCACATTTGGATTAAAGACCTAAGAAGGAAGAGGAGCTCCCTGAGTTGGCCATTAACATCTGGACAGGAGAATGAGCAGATAAACTGCTCATTTGGTTAAGTCATCCATACCATGATAAGATGGATTACATTCTTATTTAAATTATTAAAAAAATACTTTCAAGGGCCACAGTCTCACAACACCCATAGAAAAGGGGAAGGAATTGCCAGTTTGCTTTTGTCAGACTGATTCCCCTTGGCCATCCCTGCAGATGCCACTGCTAAAGGCTACATCCTACATCCTACAGATTTCTTTTCATGTAGAAGTTTCCCTTAGGAAGTCGTCTTTAATCATTTTTAAAACAACTCTAATAGTTCTCTGCCAGTTCCAGTGTGGCATCTCACAGGGGTGGTACTGCCCTGAGAAAGCATGTTCAATCTTCCTGGACTCACAGCTACTGCTCAATGGACAGGTGGAAGCTGTGATCTGGAGGACCTTTACCTAGCTTTCTGACAGCCTAGTTGCAGCCCTTTTTTTGGAACAGGAGGATCAGGCTACCTGGCTACAGCAAGTCATACCCTTATCACTACTCAGACTTCTGCAATGTGCGCTACATGGGACTGCCTTCCAAGACACTTGGAAATGCAGTTAGTTCAAAAGGCAGCTCTTCACTTGTTGATGGGTGTTAATTGCTATGAGCATATTATATCTATTTGTGGGTCCTGCATTGGTTTTCGGTAGGTTTCTGGGTGCAATTAAAAGTGCTAGTTTTGACTTAAAAGCCCTAAATGGCTTGGTACCTCAGTACTTAGAGAACTGCCTGCTCCACCTGGGTTGGACCCATCCAAAAAGGACCTCTCAGGGGAAGCTGCTTATGATACCCCACTTTTGTGAGGTGATGGTGGATGAAGCCAGAAGATGCTTTTTTCCATCATGGCACCCAAGTTATGGAAAAGGCTCCCTTTAGAAATTCCAGTGGCCCCAGGACTGGGCTTTTCTGTAAGGCTTTTGGGGAATGATTATGACATAATATGACTATCACTTCCTAGAGGGTAATTTTTGGTTACTTCGTGCTATAATTACTATTATTATTATTATTATTATTATTATTATTATTATTATTATTGTATTATTATTGTATCTT